AATTATTATTTTATACATGAATGTTTCTGTTCAATTATTATTTTATACATGAATGTTTCTGTTCAATTATTATTTTATACATGAATGTTTCTGTTCAATTATTATTTTATAGATGAATGTTTCTGTTAATTATTATTTTATAGATTAATGTTTCTGTTCAATTATTATTTTATAGATGAATGTTTCTGTTCAATTATTATTTTATAGATGAATGTTTCTGTTCAATTATTATTTTATACATGAATGTTTCTGTTCAATGCCTGAGACGACTTCTGTTGTGACTTGGAGCTTTAGAAATAAACTGAATTGAACTGAATTGTTCACAGACCTGCTGAGCGTAGGATAGCTGAGCGTACGTAGCCAGGCTGCCTCCCTCTGTGGTGCAGGCTTGCTGAGCTGCAGTGTAGTTCAGCTGGTACTGACCTTTTACCGTACGGTAGTGGAACACGCCTAGAGTCACATCTGCACAAGGAAAATCATCAAACAGGTCAGATCAGCTGAAATCAACAGTACAAGTCAGAATAGGACATCAAGAACAACACTGATCAGAACATCAGCTGAAACATTTGATTTCATGTCTCTCCAGTTTTAGCTTCTCTCCATTGGCTCCCTGTCAAATCCAGAATAGAATTCTAAATCTTACTTCTAACCTACAAAGCCCTCAACAACCTAGCTCCATCTTATATTACAGATCTTATTGTTCCATATTTTCCTAACAGAGCACCTCGCTCTCAGACTGCAGGTTTACTTGTGGTTCCTATAGTTTCCAGCAGCAGAATGGAGGAAGTTCTTTCAGTTCTCAGGCTCCTCTCTTGTGGAACCAACTTCCAGTTTCTGTCCATGAGGCTGACACATTGTCCAGTTTGAAGACTGGGATTAAGACTTTCCTTTTTGATAAATCCTATAGTTAGGGTCGTCTTGGGTTTCCTGAGCTGCCCCTTAGTTCTGCTGCTATAAGCTTAGACTGCTGGAGGACAAACTGACCACATTTCCTCTCTCTGCTACTCTTTACTTGCTTTACTCTACCTGTTTGTATTTATTTCTACCAGAATCAGAATAAACTTTATTATCATTGCACTGAGATACAACGAGAACATGTTCCTAGAGTCGTCTGAAAGATGGACGTAGTGCACGAAGCTGCTGCTAATTAGCGCGGCCTTCTTATTCTTATCCAGAATAATATTTTTGCTTAGATGAGAAAAGGGAAGAAAACATGAGGAGAGATGGTATAAAAAAAAGATCTCTCACACCGTGTCCTAGACAGGGCACGATTTGAGGCATCAAACAAACTACCAGACCATAGCACATAAATAGACATGATACATGTACATATAGGCCGGTGAAGACATTGAATTTTAAGGGAAGGTTGTAGCATATAGTCCAATAACCCCCCACCTCCTCACTCCCCTCTCAGCCATTGTCCAGATAAGAGGTGTTACTCATCATCAGTTCGGTTGAGGTTCTGTCACATGTCCACGGCCTTGGGGAAGGGAGGGGTGAGGAAACAGTCAAAGCATCTTTGTTTTTCCTAAACATTCCATGAGGAGTTGATATAAGTCCGGTGTCAAGGCCACAGTTTGGGTCAGGCAGAACTTGTAAATTTCTGTTTCTGCTTTTAAAGTCTCGCTGGTACATTCCTCTGATGGAAACTCCAAACAGTTAAACTGATTCCTTACGTGAAAAGTCGAGCTCACAGCTTCTCCAAGTTTATTCCCACCGTTCATGGATGCTGCCAGAAAGTTCACAGTCCTGATAACAGCCTGTTCCAACTATGATGCAGCTCCACAAAATTCAGTCTGAGTGCTGCCGAGTTTCGATACATCCACACAAATTTCACACAAACTGGATTGTCTACAAATTTGTGTGGATGTGTCAAAGCTCGGCAGCACTCAGACTAAATTATGGGGAGCTGCGTCAGAGATGGAGCAGCTGTTATCAGGACTGTGAACTCTCTAGCAGCACACATTAAGGTGGAAATAATCTTGGAGAAGCTGTGAGCTCGACTTTTGGCGTAAAGAATCAATTTGGCTGTTTGGAGTTTCCATCAGAGGAATGTACCAGCGAGACTTTAAAAGGCAGAAACAACAGTTTACAAGTTCTGACTGACCCAAACTGTGGCCTTGATGCCGGACTTATCTCAACTCCTCCTGGCATGTTTAAGGAAAACAAAAATACTTTGTCTGTTTCCTCACCCCTCCCTCCCCCAAGGCCGTGGACATGTGACAGAACCTCAACTGAGCTGAAGATGAACGTCACCTCTTATCTGGACAATGGCTGAGGGGGGGCTCTGGACTATGCTACGACTTTCCCTTAAAAATTCAATGTTTTCACCGCCTATATGTTCATGTATAACATCTGTTTATGTTGCTTTTCTGTGGGAGGTTTGTTTTATGCTTCAAATCGTGCCCTGTCTAGGACACGGAGTGAGAGATCTTTTTTTTATACCGTCTCTCCTCATGTTTCTTTCCTTTTCTCATCTAAGCAAAATATTATTCTGAATAAGAATAAGAGGGTCACACTTTTTATAGTTGCAGCTTTGTGCTCTCCGCCCATCTTTTGGACAACTGCATGTACATGTTCTCGTTGTATGTTCTATGTTCTCGTTGTCTCTGTGCATTGATAATAAAGTTTATTCTGATTCTGATTCCTGATCTCCCTAACCTCAGCCAGTTGAGATACGTGCCCATCCTAAGTCTGGTTAGGATGCCTCTCTGTGGAGGTACTTCAGGCATGCCCTTCTGGGAGCAAACTCAGGAGCCGACCCAGGACACTTTGGATCAATTATATCTATCCCCAGGTCTGAAAGCACTTTAGGGTCTACCTGGAGAAACTGAAAAGAGCTTTGGCTGCTACCCCATGACCAGGACCCCATTAAGCTTAAGACAACATTGACAAGATAACATTTTCTAATTGGTGTCTTCTCATGAACTGACTGCAACTGTGTTGTAACCAGATTTAAATCTGACTTGAATTAACTTGTTATTTTTGGTGTTTAGCGCCCTGAGACAACTTTTGTTGTAAATTAGAGCTATATAAATGAAAAGGAGTAAACTGAACAGAACATAAACACAACATGGATCAGAGCAACAATCAGCCAGAATACCTACGTTTCCTTCATGCCCTTTGGTCTTTGTCCAGGATCTCTGCGTGCTTTAAGGCAAACCGTCAGAGTCTTGGACCAGACTGTGTAGGAGCTCACAAAATTCTACAAAGTTAAAACCTGGTCAGGTTTAAAATCGGGACACCTATTTCCCTTCATATTGATAAGGGAGCACTTTGGTAACAGTTTCTGTTTCAAATGTTCTCTGTAAATAAATTCGACTTGACTTGATAAGTCTGGAGTTACCTAGAAAAGGTAAAAACTGCAAACATCATTTTGGATCATGGGCTCTCGGGCCTTCAGACCAAGCCCTACCTTCAAAGTGCAGATCAGTACATTTGGCATCTGGGTGGCACTGTCCGTTGTCCAGGAGACAGCGGCTGATTGGCAGCTCTTTCACCTCACAGGTGACCCCGTCTCCAATGTAATTGTCCTTGCAGGTACATTTCTTCTTCCCCTGCCCACAAACACATTTCACCTGTCAAGCACACGTTATCGTAAACTGTTAAACAAAGCGACAACTCGTTCTAACCGGAGCCGTCATGGTGCAGGTGGCGTGTTTGTGGCAGCCGCCATTTTCCTCTGAGGCGCAGGGGTCGATGGGCAGACAGGTGATACCGTCTCCAGAGTGACCTGTAGAACAGGTGCAGCTCACCTTCTCTCCTTCCTGAGAACACCTGGCCTCTTTAGCACAACCACCATTCCTGATCTTACACATGTCCACCACTGTGGAGACAGAGGGCACCGTGAACGTCCAGAAACCTGCAGGTCTTAGAAAGTCCTGCAGGACAACACAAACAGTCCAGGAGAGTGTATTTACCTGTACAGGTGAGCCCGTCTCCCACATGAAAAGGCCTACAGACACAGGTTTGATTTTCATTGCAGACAGCTTTCGGAGAGCAGGGAGGGGAACACTGAAACACCTCAGCTGGGCGGGACAAACAGACGCTGTTAGTCTTTACATTTTAGTTCCCCAAAACCCAAACAAGTATCTGAAAGTCCAAAGCACGGACGATTCCAGAGTTCAAACGAGCAGCAGTTATTTCCTGTTGTTCTCATGTTTATTCTGACACCGCCCTACAACCTAGCTGTTTTTTGTTACATTTAATTTCAAACACCATTTTATTTTCATTTGTTAAAATAAAAAGAGCTCAACTTGTACGCATCCTTTATGACTGTCTATTGTTGTCTTTGTTGTCCACTGTTGTCATCACTCTGTTAAAACCAGGTCTCTCTTGTAAACGAGGCTCAATGGGACTAACCTGTAGAAATACAGGTTGAATGAACGAGAGGGCCAAGAGCCAAAGACTTCCAGCACTCGATCAGAACCCTGACTCAAACCCAGAACATCACAGAAGCAGGTTTTGGATCTGTCACCTTGTGTACTTTGTCTTCTTTAAGGTCGGGCAGCCAACTCGGGAACCGAAAGTCCCAGGTTTGATCCCCAGCCATTCCCACATGTCGTGGCGTCTCTGAGCAAGACACCTAATCCCAGATTGCTTGCCAGGTGGTTGCATAGCTGCTCCACTGCTCCACCAGGGTGTATCCCAGGTGCGACGGGTTAAAAGCAGAGAACTAATTTAGTCGTTGTCTGGGAACATACAGCGATGACAACACATAGCACCTTGTTTTACTTCTTTGTGCAGCCAGGCAGCCCCAGAGCATGATGCCTCCACCACCGTGCTCAACAGTGAGTACACTATTCGTAGAGTTACTGGTTGATGTTCCACCTTTCTTTCTTGAAATCTATTTCTATTATATCTTACTTTAATGTGTGATTATTTGTATCCCTTACATTTTGTATACAGCATCGCACATCATCACTCTATGTGTTAAAGGAGACGAGGCGGATCTTTTGTTCCGGAAGGGTTCTGTTTCCGGTTGGAAGGATTTCTTAGTTACATGTTAACCCTGAGCCAAGCCCACAACCACCACAGAGACCACGTTTAAAGGTGACCCAGATGACTTTCTTATTTTGAAAAACCTTGTTTAACGAGGAATACTGATGTTCCTTATTTTGAAAAACTTTGTTAAAGGTGAACCCAGACGAGTTTCTTATTTTGAAAAACCTTGTTTAATGGTGAACCC